GAAAAGGAGAGGAAGAACCGGTCGGGACGGCCGCGGCGGCCCCCGCGCGCCGTGGGTGTAGCGCCTGGAGACGCCGGGGTGGCTGAGCCTCGCTGGCCCCGGGCAGGGAGAAGTCCGGGCAAGCAGGGACAGGGGGTGACATGCCTGTGAGGAGGGGTGTCACATTGAGGTGGAGGGGTACGGCAGCTGTAGGGGGGGGACGGCAGCTGGGCAGAGCCTGTATGGAGGGATGCAACATCTGGACGGTGGGTCCTCACATCCGTACGGTGGGGGTCCCGCGGCTGTACGGAGTGGTCTCGCATCTGTATGGGGGTCTCACATCTGTACGGTGAGGTCTAACATCTGTAGGGGGGGTCTCACATCTGTACGGAGGGGTATCACGTTGGTAAGGAGGTTTATCACGTCAGTTGCGGAGGGGTTGAGTGTCTGCAGAGAGCGCTGGCGCATCTGCTCGGGGAGTGTCCCGTCTACTCGGGGGCTTGTCCTGTCCGTCTGGGGTGCTCACCCTCTCTACCCTGCACAGGACGGCCAGGAGCTCACCGATGTGGAGCGGGCCATCGAGACTGTCATCAACCAGTTCCACTGCTACGCAGTGAAGGGGCAGAAGGAGTACCTGACGCCTAATGAGATGCAGGAGCTGGTGGTACAGAAGCTGCCCCACCTGGGGAAGGTGAGGGCAGAGCCCGGGGGCGGTCAGGGGGAGCTGGGGTGGGCATGGGCTGCCTGCAGGACCCCGCAGCCCCGTCACCCCGATGCTTTTTTCTGACCCCGCTGCAGTGTGTTGGACCACTGGACGAGAAGATCGAATGCATGGGAGACCCTGACGAGGCCAAGCTGGAGTTCGGAGAGTACTGGGACATGATGGGGGACGCGGCCAAGGGCTGCCGGAGGAAGTAGGGGGCAGCAGGGGACGGGAAGGCGCCCGAGGCCTCAGGCTCTGCACCGAGAAGCGTGAGAGGCTGCTGGTCCGGTGGGATGCGCCTGGGAAAATGCAGTGTTACTCCTGCCAGGGCTCATCTCCTCCCCGCGTCCCCGGCTGGGGTGGAGGGATCCCCCTCCCTGGTTCCATCCCTGCCCTCTCTCGGCCCTCCTTCCCGTCAGGAAACCTCCCTTCCCATCCCCAGCTCTGGCCCGTGCCGTGGCGGGAGGGAGGTGGCAAGGGGGTTCCTGGCCCTGACGCTGGAGCAGCCTTTCTCCGTCCTTTGCCCCAGAGTCTTTACCCCCGGGGTTGTCCCACCTCCGGCCCCAAAATCCCTCCGGTTGCAGGTCCCCCAGCCCCGGAGCATCGCAGCGAGAGGGACTCGGCTCCTTTCCCCCAAAAACCCTTGGATGTGCGGGCTCATCCCCCTGGCCCCGTGCCCCGCCACCCGATGGGAGACCCCCTTTGCCACAGTTCTGCCTCGTGCTTCGAGCACCTTTGGGGACATCCTGGGCTCCGGGCCAGCACCAGCGTTGCCGTGCATGGCCTGGGTGTATTCCCTGCTCTTCCCCCGGTGCAGGGACTACGGTGCCCTGCACCTGCCCAGTTTTCGGGGTGCTACGCCGGGGTGTGCCGCCTGCATGGTGCTCCCCCCACCTGCCCCTCTCCAGGGATGCTGGCCCCTGGCTGGCGGCTGGGCTCGGGGCTGGGACGGTGGTGGGTTGTTGTTGGCTTGCGTCACTTGCAACCATTTTTGTATAAATTAATAAAGGAAAACACTGGAAAAAGAACAGCAGGATGGGTTGACCTCATTTGTCCTTTGTGGGAGAGGGAAAGTGTGGGGGGGCAGGAAGGGACGGGACCGCAGCGATTGTGGCTCTGAGCTTCACTCGCTGCTGGGTTGCACAGCCCCGCTGTCCCCAGTGCGGAGCCCGGGGGTGCGAGGGATGCTGTGAGCGTGCAAGGGATGCTGTTGGCGTGCAAGGGATGCTGCAGACGTGCAAAGGACGCTGCAGGAATGTTTTTTTCGGTGCTGTGGGGGTGTGTGGTGCTGCGATGGCCACGGTGGGCTGCAGGCACGGCGAGTGTGCACAGCACTCTGGGTGTGCACGGTGCTGAGGGCGTGGATGGTGCTGGGGGTGTGCACGGTGCTGTGCACATGCCCAGTTCCTCGGGTGGCTCGTGCCTGGTGGTCCCCGTTGTGGGGAGCCCACAAGGAGAGCCAGGGCTGTGTCTCCAGACCAGGCACCCCAAGGGCTTTGGGCGTGTGGCTCCGTGCTGGGCTGGAGAGAGCTCAGAGGAGACCCCGAAATCCTGGGCTCAGAAAGACACGTGAGCTGTGAGGCCAGCAGCAAGATCCCACCTGTACTGGGGGAGCGTGGGATTTCTGTGGAATTACAGCAAATTAGAAAACAGTAAATGCCACAAAGCAGTGGCCCGCTGGGATGGAGCAGTTAGCCCAGGCACTGAGCTCATGGAGGGCGACGAAATGGGCTCGAGGGGGTGCAGGGCAGCCACCGAGCCCGATCATCCCACCTGCGACACCTCGCGAGGTTCTGTGCTGCGGGGGGAAAAAAAAAAAGAACCAAACCAAACCGAACCAAACCCCAGAGTAATGTGACGAAACCTGAGGCCGGGCCAGGGTGACAGGTCCTCCCGGGCCAGCGGCCGGCACGGCAGCACCGACACCACGGCTCGGCCACAGGCCACCCTCTGTCTCCTCTCACCTTGGGGTGGATTTCACAACGAGAATGACTATTTATTGTTCCTGCCTTGGAAATAAATACATGGAAATTAAGCAGAAAGGTGTGGTGTGCATTTAATTAGAGACAGGAAATGTGTCAAATGGTTGGGGTGATGGGGCGGGGAAAGAGGAGCCAGGGCTCCTGCATCCTCTTCCCAGCACCAAGCTGGGAATGTGCCGTGGGAGTGGGGACTCCTGGGTCCTATTTCTGGTTTGGTGACCGGCTCCCCGTCGTGACGTTGCGCTGTCGGGAGGACGGCAATTCCTGTGTCGTGAGCCATCCTCGATAAGTATCTGTTGTATCTGGAGAGTCCTTGGAGGTGGTAGGAAAAGCTCAGCCCGTGCTGGGGCGGTCGGTGCCCCTTGGTGAGTCAGTGTCGACCACACGGGCACAGCACCGCGCTGGTGAAAGTGCCGAGAAATGCATTTGTCCGTGCTGGGGTGGCCGCTGCGTGGCTCTGGGGTGCCCACCACAGCGGTCACTAAAAACTCCCACAGCCGGGGCTTGGCGTCCCCCCTCTGCAAAGGGTCCCGATGGGGCAGAGATTGTCCATGAGAAGCCAAAGTGCTTCCGAGCCTTCAGAGCCAGAGCTGGTGGGGACCAGGGCAGAGGTCGATCAACCTCATCGGGTTGATCGAAATGTCTGGGAACTGTCTTGTGACGGGTTTCGATGGTACGTGGCTGCTCTGAGCACATGCACACGCACACGCCCTGGATGCCTTGTAAAAATAAGGGCCTGGATGTGGTTGTGACATCTGCCAGGCACAGGAGAGTAATGAAAGCCCGTGATTCAGAGGTGAGCTGTTTGCCTGCAGGGTCGGGGAGGGATTCCCACCCTCCTGGGATGTTGCATCAACGACACCGGAGCATCTCGGTCGAGAATGGGTTTGCTTCCTCCCAACCAAGATTAGGAAGAAACCAGTGGAGAGCTGGGATGACACACATCGGTTTTTCCGGGATGGGAGTCCCAGAGGTCCTCTGAGCAGGTGGCTCCTGCCTGTAATATATCACCTCCTACTTTGCATCCTTAAATATGCAGCTCCCAATAATGTCTGTATCTGATCTTGGCATCAAATCGCTGTGCCATTGCTCTGGTAGACATACAGGGGTACAATTTGCTCGGACAATTAATTACGGATGCGACTTTACAAGCAGAGCTACCAGATGAGAAGGGCCTTATCTGTCCCAATGCATCTAGAGATGGCTGAGAGCTGGGTACAGCCCTGCCCGGAGCCGGTGTTTGTGCTTCCAGGGTCCCAGAGACCCGTGCCAGCCCCTTTCACCCTTGAGAACAAGCGGTTTTGGTTCAAATAAATGATGCCCCCCCACCTTTCTGGGCAACTCCTGTGCTACACGAGACCTGACTGGCTGTCCTGGCCCGCGGTGGGTGCGTGGGGTGGTTTGGAGCAGGGGGGGTGGTGGGGACGTGTGGCAGGACTGAGGACCTGGGCTTCCAGCTGGTGCACGGCTGGATGGCAGTGGGTTTGCAAACCCTGGGACCAGGCTGGCGTTGCACCGACCCTGGTAAACCAGCACTGCTGGGAGCCTGCCACCCCTTCCAGACGGTGGGGCCTTTTGGGGTGGTCTCCAAACACCTGCCATCGC